AAACCTGCACAGTTTTATTTGCCACTCACTTTTATATTTTAAATCATAAAAATTGTAATATAAGCATATGTTACAATATTATTTTTCCATATCTTCTATCTGCTTTATACTTATATTTGGCGAGTCCTTTTAGGAGAAGCAAGGGTGGTAAGTTCCTCATTTTTCTGGTGATATTCATCTATGGTGTTCGTGATTACACTTTGCCGTTAGAAGAAACTGGTCAAATGAAGATAATCAGAACTCTTTTTACGTTAGAGGAACGAGGTTTCAGTAGTAGTGCACTGAATGTGAACGATCATCGGTGTAAACAGTTTCAAAAATGGTGCCATATAGTCTTGATGATCATCTTTATGGATATAATCAATTTCAGCATCATCTCAGTCTTTCATTATACAGCTTCAGAAATTGAGTTTGCAAACATTTTTGTATCATTTGAGCAGGTTAGATAAATTTATCAACAATGAATTTTTGCAAAGATTAAGTCAAAAGTGAGATGATTTAAAATAAGATTTAAGACAAATCAAAGGCAAATCAAAAGCACATTTTTGTTGATGTAGTTGAGTTTGTTTTGTTTCTTGTGGTTTCTTTACTCAGTTTTCTGTAATTAATTCAGTGATCTCAGGATGCCTCGAGCAATCAATCATGAGCTAAGAACAGCTATCATCTCTTATGTTGGCCAGGGATACAATGATAACGATATTGCCATTGAATTAGGTCTACGATACGACACAGTCAGACGATGGAGACTAAGGTTTGAGGTAAGTGGTAACATTGAAACTAATTACTCCAACTGTAAAGGTAAAACTGTTTTGACTGAAAAGGATAAGGAATCAATTTTATTGAAAAGTATCGAGGATCCATTCAAACATGGTACGAAGATTCTGAAGGAATTGGACCTTGATTGTACCCCAGAAACTGTGAATCGTTTTTTAAGATCAGAAGGGTTAAAGTCTTACCATGCTTGTAGCAAGCCAAAATTAAAAGAAATTGATGGACAGAGAAGATTGACTTTTGCTAATTTGTATGAAGATATTGATTGGAGAAAATGTATTTTTAGTGATGAGTGTTGTTTCAGTTCTGAGAAGCAAGGAATCAGATTTGTTAAGAGACCCCGTGGTAAGAGATACGACCCAATCTATTGTAAACAAAATGATCATTGTCATCGACAAGTAGTTTCAGTTTGGGGAGCAATTTCTTATGATGGTTTAGGACCTCTAGTTGAATTAGATTCAAGACTGAATAGTCAGACATTTGTTAAAATTCTCAGTACTTATGGTGTTGAGTTTATCAAAAATACTTTTGGAACTGATGAATGCTATTGGGTCGATGATAATTGTCCTTCTGACACATCATTATTGTCTTCTGAGTGGTTCAATTGTTGTAACTTCATTTACGGAATCAACGTAAAACTACTCAGATTGCCTCCTTATTCACCTGATTTAAATGCTATTGAAAATGTATGGGGTTCTCTTAAATTTGATATGTTGAACTGTTCCTATGAACCTCAATCAAGAATTGGAATGAAAAATTATGTATTTGAAAATTGGAACACCAAAAAACTGAATAGAGATTTTTGTAAACCAATAATTGATTCTTTACCCAAGAGACTTTCTCATCTTATCACAAATGATGGATATTTCACGAAATATTGATTAAAATTAATTTATATCTTGAATCCTAGCATAAAAAATTTCTAATTCGACAATTTTCGAACTTTTTTGACTTTGGAGCAAAATTTCTCGCCCTAAAGGTAATCATATAAATGCACGAACTATTATGAACAAAATTTCAACTATTTGACTACATATAATCGAAAAAAACTTCGAAATCGGACAAAGGACAAAAAAGTTATTAGCGATTCGAAACCGCGTATTTGAGATTTACACCCTGTAGACTACTGGAAGTTTTAAACGACTTTGGTCAATGGAACGACAATTCAAAGTGTTTGTTTCAATATGTTATCATAGCTTGCTCTACCATTGCTAATTTTATTTGTTTCTTTGGCTTTCTGCACGACCTTGACCCGGACGCTGCAACTATGACCATGTCTATAGTTGATATCTTTGTACACATATTTATATTAGTATTTATTGGTTGATCGTTGTTTGATTATGAGGTAAGTCCGACTTTGACGCGATCCTCTGCTCATCTTCAATAAATTGGACAAAATTTTTCGCTCCAGCAACATAGCATTCGCAACTACATTCGGTACTTTTTCAAACTGACGACGAAGACAACGGCTGAATCTAAATTGAAAGTAAGTGATGCATAGTGTACCAAAAAACTGTTCGATTTGAACAGTTTTCAATTAATTATATTAAGTTGAGAAATGGTGCCCAGCCCAAATAAAGCAATGTACTAACTTAAATAATCAATACGAGTCAATTCAAAAAATCAATAATTATTGATGATATGCTAAAGAGTCACTTTTTTCAATTGCCTTTGGTAAGTTCAATGTGCGCCTCAATGTTAAAATTTTAAAATTATTATTATGGGCTTTTCATTGCAGTTACTATTGGTAAATGCAAGTTTCATCATACTTTTATCCGTCAATGCCCTTTCATTCATATGGATTACTGGTCTCATTGAATTGGCACAATTCTCTGTTGTTGATTCAAATGATAATTTCAAATGATATAATATACCACATATATCAACCTTTTATAAAAGGCAAATCCATTAACTGACTCAATTTTTTAAATTAATCATCAAAAACCATGTAACGTTTCATCTTAAATCATCTTAGATCCCAATCTCAATGCCTTTTTTGCTGTATTCATATTTATTGAAAACCATATCGCGGCTCATATTGTATTATATTAAGCAATTCGTTTCATTGGCTCCAAAGTGACAAGAAGAAGGCTATGTTGCTTTTTTTGTACTTTTTCATGAGTTAACTTTGAATATAGTTAATGAATACTTTGCATGTTAAAGAAAGAAATTAACAGGGCTATTCAGCTATTTTTACCGATGTTAAGAGGCTATATCAGTTGCTGTTAGATGTGCAGCGTGTGTTGCTTTGGAAGGAAAGCAACTGAAGCTGCACAAAGATTACAGTTAGAGGGATTTTACCGGTAGGCATGGGCACCCGAGTCATCAAAACTGCCCAAAGGTCATTAAATTGCAACTTCACCTCCACGCGGTAATGACTGGGTAACTCCAACGAAGCTCTGCAATATCCACAGCATAATGACTTCAGACTTGTTTATGAATAAAAATGCCAATAAATAAGGTTGCGCTTATAAAAGAGCAAGCAAACTTGACCAATACAATTATTTGACCTTGAAAATTATTATGCACCCTCATTTGACCTCTAATAGCATTAGGAGCGATTTACGTCAAATTACCTTGAATGACCTTGACCTTGAAATATAACAGATAAGTATCGGCGAAATTTAATTATAAAAAATCTGACCCCTCAAGGTCAATCACAGGCCAAGATATAGCCTCTTAACATCGGTAAAAATAGCTGAATAGCCCTGTACAATACCAAAGCATTGAGAATGAGCTTTCGTCGATACGGAGCTTCAAAGGCGTTCTTCTGTAAATTGTTTGATTCTTGGCGCATTTCGTCTGACATTTCGTTTATTCACTTCCAAATACCTAGAATTAATAGAATTGTCTTTTGTTCATAGTTTTGGTTGCAAGTTAAAGTTTAGTTACAGAATAGCCGTAATTTTCTTAATTTCTTATTTCTTTATTTTTTAAGAAATATATCACAGGCAATGTCTTTAGTAATTGAAAAGGTGATGTGTATTATTCAACTCATAGATAATGTATAAATCGATAAAGTCAATAGTTTGAACGATTAAGAAGACTTTTGAAGCAAGTATTATAATAAATTATTGACAAATTATTATTATATTATTAATTTTGAATGCTTCAAATAACAATGTGCAATGTAAAATTTATTTTATTTCAAATTTTATGAATCCATAAACAAAACAAGATGAAAATCGTCATAAAATTTGCACATAGAGTCGTCTCAAACGTTCATAATAATAAAATTGGCAAAATCAATTCATAACGCATTGAAAGGCGAAATGTTAACCGCTTTCAAAAGACGGCTGAAAGCTAGCATAGACAGAATGGTGGCAGGCAACCTTAAAAAACTTTTTATTGTGAATGTGTGGGCAAATCTATTGCGACTGCTAAATTTACAAAACAATTCTGAAATTGAAACAATTAAAGCAATTCATAAGTTTGATAAAATTTTTGGACGTTGGTCGAGTTGTCGAGGGGGACTACAGCAAACCTTGGATAAACCGATAAGCATTAAATTTCATATTTATAATTGGTTCTTTCGTTTTAATGTTGTTATCATAATCTCTCGTTTCATTTTATTCATCTTGATTGACAACTATAATTGCGATTTATATTTGGCAAACCCTTTTGGTGGAACCAAAGGGGCCAAGAAAAATGCCCTGATGCTGTTCATCATTCTTGTGACAGTGTTCGCCTATTGTCTTCGTGATTACACTTTACGGTTAGAAGAAACCGGCCGATTGAAAGTATTTCGAATACTCCACCTGTTAGAGAAAAGAGGTTTCAATCCTGAAACATTAAATATGAACAATCGTCGCTGTGCACAGTTTCGGAAATGGTGTGACACCATCTTGATTGGGATCTTTTTTGCTATAATCAGTTTGCAAATCATCGCATTACTTTTCATCATATATTCACGATTTCCTCTTATGTATTTAAATGGTTCTAAGTTCATTATTCCTCGAACTTTGTTGCACTACATATTTCATTTAATTTTCATTATTATCGAAATCTTTACCTTCTTCGTGTTTGTAATCAATTCAATGTGTACAGGTGCTTACATTTTGGTCATTTTGACTTTTTATATTTTACGTTTCAATACACTTATTGATTTGATAAAACAAACCTAGAGCTCCTTAAACAATTCAATTTTATCCGAGTTGAATTATAGACTAATAGAAGTTTTAAACGACTTTGGTCAGTGGAATGACGATTCAAAGTATTTGTTTCAATATGCTATCATAGCTTCCTCTGCCATTTGTAATTTTTTTTGTTTCGTTGGTTTTCTTTACGGCCTTGAACCGGACGCTGCAACTATGACCATTTCTATTGTTGGTATCTTTGTACACATATTAGTGACCATTGGTTGCTATTTAGGAGCAGAATTTCATTATGAGGTAAGTCGATCAATTTTATGGAATCGTCTCATCTGAAATTTTCGTTTCATCACAAGTCCATCAAGATACGTAACCTCCTTTGCAACCTCTATTGCAAACTGACGGCAAATGCAACGACTCTAGTTAGACTGAAAGTAAGTAATGAAAAGTGTACACATGCAGCTCGGTTTAAAAACAAGAGTAAAATCTTCTTTCAAATTATATTGACTAGTCGATGGAAATATTGGACAGACTTGATAGTCGATGCATTGGAGCACACATGGGGGATTTCGGTATATTTTATCGATCTACTTGTATCATTGTAAGTATTTATTACGACCGTCATTGTGGTGATACACTGCACAATTTATGGTGCAATATTTTTGCAATTTTGAATAAAGCAATGAACTTGAAGCACTTGAATAATAGTCAATGTGTATCAATGTAAAGACCAACAATGAAATGCACTCACGTTTCGTGAATATGATTTTGCTCATTACACACCTCAATCTTTCTGAAATCTGATATGTCTTGATCTTTTTTTTACAGGTACTTTTGGAAAATGCAAGTTTCATTATGCTTTTGTCTTGTAATTTGCGTTAGTTTATTTGAACTGGCGTTCTCATTTCAAATTAAACTCGGACTCACTTTTCTATGGAAGAAAAATCTACCAACTGACTTAAATTGGTTCAATCACTTTTACCAGTGATTTCATATCTAAATTTTTATCATACCAAGGTTAGGAAATAATGGTACGGATGAAGCCGATCGATGAGGTAAGGAATTTCAGATTCCACAGTCATGTCCATCTTCTCCCAAACCATTCTATCTTCATTGAGTTTATGCATAAGTTTGATGTAATATGATCCAGAAAGACAACTATTTTTAGTGCTAACATCGTGTAGATTGAACAAAAGCTAATTCGCCGAATTAAAGAAACAAAAGTATTAAAAAAAAGTAAAGCGAAAAGTTTAGGCAGTAAAGACAAAACTTTTGCAGAGAAGAGATAGCAAAGATTTAAGATTTAAATTAATCATCTTCAATAAGATTTTTTACAAGATGAAAATTCACTTCGTCTTTGATTTTTTTTCACTACAATCGTGGTTTTGGGACACACAGGTAACGCTCAGCCCGATTTTCAAATCAAGTCAATGAAAAAAGTTTAAGATGCAACATAAACCGGGAAATCGGAAAAACTTCATTTTTACATGTTTATTTTCCCATAGGTTTCAAAAAAGTTTTTCCACCGACTTTTTTAAAAAATTGATCTGCGTGCTATCTGTGTCCGACTTTGGGCATAAACGCAATCAAAGCTAACAGGGTCAGAGCTCAAAATATTATAATATCTAATGAAAATGTATATAACTAAAAATCTCAACTTCAGATTTTTTAACGATCTTGAATTACATTGATTATTCATCCAAAAGATTACATATGAAGAAATATCTCAGGCAATATCTTCAGTAATTCAAAAGGTGATGTGTATTATTCAACTCATAGGTAATGTATAAATCGATAAAGTCAATAGTTTGAACAATTAAGATTTTTGAAACAAGTAGCATGATAAATTATTGACAGATAATTTTGAATGCTTCAAATTACAATTTTGAATAAAACAATTAATTTTATTCAAATTTTATGAACCCATAACAAAACACGATGAAAATCGTCATAAAATTTGCACTTAGAGTCGTCGCAAACGTTAATAATGATAAAATTGGCAAGATCATTTCAAAACGCATTGAAAAAATGAAAAAGCTTTCAAAAGACGGCAGAAAGCTAGAATAGACAGAATGGTGGAAAGCAACCTTAAAAAATTGTTTACTGTGAATGTGTGGGCAAATCTATTAAGACTGGTTAATTTACAAAACAATTCTGAGATTGAAACAGTCGAGGCAATTCGTTCGTTTGACAAAATTTTCAGACGTTGGTCGAGTTGTCGAGGTGGACTACAACAAACCTTGGATAAACCAATAAACATTAAATTTCATATTTATAATTGGTTCTTTCGTTTTAATGTTTTTATTATAATCTCTCGTTTCATTGTATTCATCTTGATCGACAATTATTATTGTGACTTATGTTTGGCAAATCCTTTTGGTGAAACCAAAGGGGCAAAGAAAAATGCCCTGATGTTGTGCATCATTTTTATATCGATGTTCCTCTATGGGTTCCGTGATTATCCTTTACAGCTGGAAGAAACTGGTCGAATGAAAGTTATACGAATACTCTACCTGTTAGAGAAACGAGGTTTCAATGCTGAAATATTGAATATGAGCAATCTTCGCTGTGAACAGTTTCGGAAATGGTGTGACACCATCTTGGTTGGCATCTTTTTTGCTATAATTACTTTGCAAATGATAGCATTATTTTTCCTCATATATTTACGGATTTCTCTTGTATATTCAAATGGTTCTCAGTTCATCATTCCTCGAACTTTGTTGCACTACATATTTCATTTAATTTTCATTATTATCGAAATCTTTACCTTCTTCGTGTTTGTAATCAATGCAATGTGTACAAGTGCTTACATTTTGGTCATTCTGACTTTTTTTATTTTACGTTTAAATACACTTATTGATTTGATAAAAAGACTCAGTTTAAAAAGCTCCTTAAACAATTCAATTTTATCCGAGTTGAATTATAGACTAATAGAAGTTTTAAACGACTTTGGTCAGTGGAATGGCGATTCAAAGTATTTGTTTCAATATGCTATCATAGCTTCCTCTGCCATCGCTAATTTTTTTTGTTTCGTTGGTTTTCTTTACGACCTCGAACCGGACGCTACAACTATGAGTATCTCTATTGTTGGTATCTTTGTACACATATTAGTGTCCATTGGTTGCTATTTAGGAGCAGAATTTCATTATGAGGTAAGTCAATCTTTTTATGGAATCGTCTCATCTGAAATTTTCGTTTCATCCCAAGTCTATCAAGATGCGTAAACTCTTTTGCAACCTCTATTGCAAACTGACGAAAAATGCAACGACTCAAGTTAGACTGAAAGTAAGTAATGAAAAAGTGTACACATGCAGCTTGGTTTAAAAATAAAGGTAAAATTTTCTCTCAAATTATATTGATTAGTCGATGGAAATTGTGGACAGACTTGATAGTCGATGCATTGGTGCTCATGTGGGGGATTTCGGTATACTTTATCGATCTACTTGCATCATTGTAAGTATTTATTACGATCGCCATTATGGTGATACGCTTTACAATTTTTGGTGAGATATTTTCGCAATTTTGTATAAAGCAATGAACTTGAAGCACTTGAATAATAGTCAATGAGTATCAATGTAAAACCAACGATGAAATCTGTTCACGTTTCGTGAATATAATTTTGCTCATAATGCACCTCAATCTTTAATTTTTGAAATGCTTTTGATCTTTTCTTTACAGGTACTTTTGGAAAATGCAAGTTTTATTATGCTTTTGTCATGTAATGTACGTTAGTTTATTTGAAATAATGGTACGGATGCAGTCGAGCGATTAGGTCAGGAAATTTCAGATTCCAAGCTCATGTCCATCTTCTCCAACCATTGAACCATCTAACAGTCTGTGAAAGATAAATCTATCAACTGACTTAAGTTGAAATCAGTCCATATCCCATCTGAATTGTCATAGGTTGTATCGTTGAGCCAAAATCACACAATAAAGTTCAAACTAAGTTTTTTCATCAGTCATGTCTATCTACTCCCAAACCATTCTATATTCATTGAGTTTATGCATAAGTTTGGTGTGGTATGTTTCAAAAAGAAAACTTTTTTATTGCTAACACCCTGTAGATCGAACAAAAGCTATTTTCTCGAAATTCGCCAAATTATGACATAGGACATCCAAGTGATGCTTGACAAACTTGAAAGAGCGTGATAAACTTGAATGTTAGCGAAATGTTTCGTTTACAATAATTTGAATCAAATTTTTATTGCGAGATCATAAAAACCCTAATATATCGACATTTTTACACTTATTTCTGTTCCTTTTAGCAGTTATTGAGTTGACTATTTTCGATAAAAAGCCTTTAACATTTATTATCACCGGCTATAACTTCTGTGTTTTGAGTCAAAGGTACAATGTTGAGTTCACTGTTTAGACAAATTATCAATGCGAAAAACTGAACTCTATGAAAAAATGTTTTTTCAGTGACAGTGAAGACAAAACTTTTGTAGAGAAGCGATAACAAAGATTTAAGATTTGTATCAACCATCTTCATCATAATGCGATGCATTCGATGGATAGAGTCAATTGTTTAACACTTAATATTTCATTCCTTAATTTGATTGCACTGAACAAAGGATACTTATTGATTATCTGTAAAGTGAAAAGATCAAGTTTAAAAAAATGAAAATCAATGATTCTTCATCATTTGCTAATACTTTTCAGGCAAAGCAACTATTGAAAAACAATATTAAATAATTAAGCTGATAGTTTCCAATTAATCATAATGATAATCATTTACTCAATTGATATTTAAACAGTGAGACGAATAAAATCACGAGACAATAATTTATCATCTTGAAAGATCCATGTCTAGTGAAATTGAAAAATCGAATGAAACAAACTTTTAAATGAAAGTTGAAAGCTACAGTTGACACAATGTCGGAAGCTACCTATATTAAACGCTTCGTTTTCGTTTATATAAAGGAAAATGTGTCGAAGTTGATTGATCGATAGACATTAAATTTCATATTTATAATTGGTTCATCCGTTTTATGTTGTTATCTTAATTGCTCATTTGTTTGTATTCATCTTTGTCGACAATTATTGTGACTTATATTTGGCAAATCCTTTTAGTGTAAACAAAGGTGGCAATAAAAATGTGCTGATGCTTTTCTTCCCTTTATTAACGATGCTCCTTTATTGTGTCCGTGAGTATACTTTACGGCTAGAAGAAACTGGTCGACTGAAAATAACAAGATTGCTTTACATCTGTGAGAGACGAGGTTCCAACGCTAAAACATTGAATGTGAACAATTAGCGTTGTAAACAGTTTCAAAAATGGTGTCAGTACAATTTTGATTAGCATCTTCATGTTTATGGTTAGTTTGAATATCATCGCGTTATTTTTCATTATGTATTTACGAACTTCTCAATTTATTTTGCATCAAACTTTAACATCGTTTTCATACGATTCTAAGTATTTGTTTCAATATTGCCTCTTGGCCTCTTCTTTTCTTGCTAACTTTTCTTGTTTCATTGGTTTTGTGTACGGATTTGAACCTGATGGCTTGACAAAGACCATGACTATTGTTGGTGTCTTTGTACATATTTTAGTATTCATCGCTAGCTATTTAGCGTCGCAATTCCATCATGAAGTAAGTGCAACATTGGCACAATCATTTACATTAAGGCTCACACATACTATTGCAGTTTGACGGCAATGACAAGGCCTGAAGTTTAATTGAAAGTAAATGATACGTGATTTAGTTCGACTCGAAAATACGAAATCGTTAAAAAATCGTCGGTTAAAACTCGAAAAATTTGAATATTATTTATCGAGAAGCAACATTTGATTGTTTCTCAACAACATTGATTTTGCATCAAGAAGAGCAATTTTCGAAACAAAAGTAATTGAAAAGGTGATGTTTTGCCTGGGATGCACTCGAAGTCAATTATGTAACACATAGCTAATGTAAAAAATCGATAAAAGTTAA